TCCAGCGAAATAGCCATTATGCTAACTGCTGGTCCCTCTCTCTCTTTCTTTCTCTGGTCAAATTAAAAAAAAAAAAAAGATAATAACAAATAAAATAAAATAATGATATGTATGTATATATAATAGAAACTACTACACTGTACCACCATTGTCTCCTGTTTTTTTAAAAATAATTATTTATTTAATTTTATTTATTCATTCAATCATTTTCATTTGACCAAAGAAACACACAGAAAGAAGAAGAGTGAGAAAGGAAGCTACCAGGTCCCGGGGCTCCAACAGTGGTCGACCCTGTGGAAGTGTCTAGCACCTTAGCCACCACGCCAGCTGCTGGCCCAGCTCCTGGTTTTGATACACTACAGTCATTTACGATGTCACCCTGGGAGAAAAACATGCAGAATCTCTGTACTGTTTTTGCAACTTCTGGGAATCTTATTTTTCAAAATAAAAAGTAAAAACAAAACCAAAACTCTGTTCTTTGCTGGCATAAAGCCACACGTGCTTGTGAGCCAGGTGTGATGGCTGTGGCCGACGGCCTGCGGGCCTCCCCGGACGCCCTGCTTACAAGCTGTTCATTCTGGAGCAAGCCATTGGGCTCGGCTGAGCCTCCGTTCACTCCTCTGGGGTGACAGAAATTTCCCTGTCAAGGCTCTCATGAGGATGGAGACAGGGACTGGAGAGCTCGGGGTAGTGCCCAGCATGTACCTGCTCTGGCTGGCTCATCTGTTGGCAGTTCCCAGGAGCTCATGCTTGACAAATCAGCATGATTACAAGCATGTTCAAGGGGAACCAACAGGTGGTGTGGTGGTTAAGGCGCTGGACACTCCCACATGGCCAACCACGGTTCGAGTCCTGGACCTGGTGGCTTGCTTTCTCACTTTCCCACTCTCTCGCTCTCTCTGCGTATGTCTTTCTCTGGTCAAAATAAAATAAGTGAATGACTAAATAAAATTAAATAATTAAAAAAAATGTTCAAGTCTACGAAGGCTATTTCATATGGACCTTTCACCCCCAGAGCTAAAGGAGTCCCCACTTGTTCACACTGGTAACTTGCCCAGGACACCTAGAATTGACCATGGTCCGGTTCCCCTGCCTCACAGTCACCCATCAGGCTGTCCCCGTCACTCTTGGAGCCCCACCATGTGGCAATGCTGGTTTGATACCTGGGAAAGATTGGACATACAGATGACAGAGTGCAGGACCAGAGAGGTAAAAGCAGGATCTCATGTCACACAGCCTGGAAGCAGCATGGAGCCAGGGTTGTGGAGTCAGGGCCCATCAATTGGCTGAGTCATCTTGAGCAAACTAGGTATGTCTGTATGGGTGTGTTATAGGTCCGTAGAGATATGCACTGTAGTATTTACGAGTGAGACGATTCAGCAAAATAAAGAAATATAAGGCACAGGGGACGGGGACTAGTTAAAACAAGAGCGGCAAAATATTACTCGTTGCCGAAGCTAGGTAATGGTCAGCAGGGCTTTGATGACACCACCCATAGTTGTAGACATCTCTCTGTCTCTGCCATCTACACATACCTGAACTGCCTTCCCCAAATACGCGTGTGGAAGTCTGAACTCTCACATGTCTCAGGATGTGACTACAGTCGAAGGCAGGGCCATTACAGAGATAATTAAGGTTAAATGAGTTCATGGGAGTGAGGCTGTCATCCACTGTGACTGATGTCCTTGTAAGAAGACACACAGAGAAGAGGTCACACCGGGACGCGGGGAGATGATCCCATCTACCAGCCAAGGAGAGAGGCCTCAGGAGGAAGCAGTCCTGGGACACCTTGACCGTGGACTCCCAGCCTCCAGGACTGTGAGAGTGAACGTCTGTGGTTAAAGGAGCCGGCCTGCGGTGCTCTGTGGGGGCAGCCCTAATAGACCATGTCCACCTATTTTGTTCAGAGTAAAGAGTGGATGAGAAAATGGAACCAGTGCCTCTGCCATCTTTCCTAAAAGGTGAGCTCTGTGTCCTCCACCACGGATGCCCTCCGGGAGTGGAGTATCCTGCCTAGGGGTAGGGTTTGGGGGGACCCTTTCAGGGCATGGGGGTACCCAGTGGGAGAAGCCTCTTTCCTTGCCAGCTGTCCTGCCCTGTGGCTCCGGGGGCCCCAGGTGGAATGACTGATTTCTGGGTGATGTGTGTGTTGGGGTGGCGAGCTGCCTAGACAAGGAGTCTGAGGCCTTAGGGTGCAGCTGGGCCCAGACCCAGCAGGCTGAGGGTGAAGCAGCCAGAATGCGAGGGCCCTCCTCTCTGGGGAGACACTGGAAGTAGCCGGGGAACAGCGCTCCACGATGCTGTTCTCCCTTC